AGAGAGAAGAAGATAGAAAAAAAAAAGATGTCGTATACCATCGGGCTAGGTGGGTATTGGATTTGTAATAGGGGCCATACGGGCTATAGGCACACACCACTCTTCCAACCCCTACTTCCGTCGACCCAGCCACCCCCGACCCGGTCAACCCCACCTCGCCTCATGTCGAAATTGCGAACCATTTTCTCGGATAGAAGACGTCGCTGCGGCGCAAAGTCTCCTGGCTCGACTGAATGCATTATTCGCACGAGAGAGCAAAGAGCTACCGGGTGTTCTCGTTTTTACTTTTTCCTTATGAGCCCCCCACCACCCCTCCCTTCTCGACGAGGACGCGATTCGTTTAATACGAACGCGACAGGCCCGGAAAATCTATTCGATCACGCTCCCATGGACGCTCGAGATTGAAATAAAAGTTAATGATTCTAACGAAATATACTCTAGCTTGAATTTATTGGCCAGATGAAATAAAAATTAACGCAGTTACTCTCACTGATATTCGTACGCTATAATGGTGATTCGTTTTTTATGAAAGGAAGCTTGTTTTTTATAACAAATTGAAAACAAAACTTGACGGTTGTGGCAGGTTGTAAACACCTGGTTCTCGCCTGATCACCGAAGTGAAGCTGCATTGGGCGCGGTCAGTACTAGGATGGGTGACCGCGTCGAAAAACACCATGTATTGTTGATTTGTTTATTGATAACAGTATTGTATGCTGTTGTTTATATTACACCTAAGTATTAGGAATTACTTGCCGTTTAATATTTAAACAAAAAAAGGCAAACAAAACTACTTCGTAAATAGAAGTAAAAACACAGTGTAATAAACAATATTTGATGAAAATAAATGGGAAAAAGAATTCATAAGAAACAAAACTTCGTAAATAGGAAGTAACACAGTGTAATATACACAATATTTCATAAAAATAAATGGGAAAAAGAATTCATAAGAAACAAAACTACTTCGTAAATAGGTGGTAAAACAGTGTAATAAACAATATTTGTTAAAAATAAATGGGAAACAAAATTCATAAGAAACAAAACTACTTCGTAAATATAATAGAAGTAGCGCAGTGTAGTAAACAACATTTGATAAAAACGGAAAAAATTCATAAGAAACAAGTTTCTTTTCATTCATAGTGAATCACCATAACGTACGGATACAAGTGGGGAGAGTAACTGGTAGATTTTTACGTGATGCATAAATGATACCGAATCCGTAAAGATGCTACTATTAAAAATAAAAATTCCAAGTTGTTCTTTGGTTTATCGAAGAATTCAACTACCCAAGACACTTTTACCGTTTGCATTGAAGTGTAAAAAAACCCGTTTCACGTCCGCAGACAACATCCGGTACCAATGGAGATTACTACGGTTTATTCTCGGGATTTATTTAACCATACTGGTCAACGTAGCGAACACAATCGGCCTCGATTATGGCGTACGCGGGAGTCCTGCTCTGGCTCGTAAAATAAAGTGGTCTCGGTTGGAACACCATGTCCGAGAGATTGAGTTGCTCGGCGTCATGGGAGGACACTGTTCCTGGGAAACGATTAATCCTCATTGGTTAGAATTCGCGCGATTGTACACACTTCATGACACTTTCGTTTGAGCGGACGACCATTCGTTCTCGCGACCAGCTACGCGATTAATAGCGCCACACTTCACGGTGAAACGGAAAATATTCAACGATCCACAAGATATAATGACTCGCGAAATCGATCAAGCGCCACTCCTTTAAACTTTTTATTCGATCAAACTGAAATCCCTGATCTTTCTAAACGTATTTGATATATACCTTGAAGTTAAATTAATACAAAAAATAAATTTAGATGTTTCCAAGATTGCCAGGGCTTTCAAAACATTCAGGGTTTTTAAAATATTCAGGACGTCTGAAATATTCTAAGCAGGACCGACGCTAGGGTTTACCAACTCCCCTTGGGAACTTCCAATTTAGGCGACCCCTTCGAACTCGTATAATACCAATTAAAAATAAAAGGAACAACAATTTTTACTTTGGTGTGATATCAAACGAGATATATATTTATAAAGTTTGTATGAAAAGCTATATTCATAGATAATAGATATTATTAATATTTCCGCAAAGAAATAAATATACACGTGTCTGGATTTTTAAATAAATGGAGCGATGAGTTTTAGTGTAAAAAAAGATGGCGGAAGTTCTATATGGAATTGACTGTATTTAATATTTTTATAAAGAAACGCGAACTAATATAACGAAAAAATAACGGAGACTTTAACGTGGATCGGTGTTTATTTCGACGGGACGTAAACAGGTTTTTGAAAAATCCCCTGAAAACGCGAAAGTATAAAGATGGTAATATTATCGCATTACGTTAACCGGCTGACCGGCGAGGACCACTTAAAAACATCGTTGATTTACGTTTACTGTTAATTTATACCATTTCGCGCGGTAATTATGAAAATGAGAGGAAGCATTACCTAACTTTCTTAATTACTTTCTATACCTGTGAAAGAGCGTTACGCGAAAAGAAGGCTTTGCAAAAAAGTTATTGTAATCGCCCGTAGGGCCTACGTTTTAAAGAATTTCAAATACCCCGGTTTAATTAATTCCTTCGACGACTTTCGAGTATAAACGACCTCGCCTTGGGAATTCGAAAAATTTGGAAATTTATGGACAGTGTGGTTGAAGGTTCCAATCACTTTTAGTATAACGAACGTAAATAAACTGTTTTCTTTTTTTAACAAAAAAAAAAGCCTCTTTAAGTTCCTCCGATCTATATTTCTTTTCAATATTAGTGTTGGGAATTCCAACATTTTATACTATCGGACACTTCATTTATTTCCCATATTACTTAAATCACTTAATTTGGTCATCTAGCAATAGTACCTTATTTTACAAAAGGAATTGCCATGCCCTAAAGCCATTAAGCCATACTTAATTAGTTTCTTAATAATCGCCACAGAATAGAACAGAACACAGTGACACAAGAACATTGAAAAGTTACACAAGAAAAGTTACAGTCAGAACACTTGACAAGTTACAATAGAACAAAGAACAGTTACAGATACATAGTATACAAGAGTGTAATAGAACAAAATGCCAAGAAATCTACGAACCATTTATATATGTATAATTGTTAACACGTGTATATATATTTGTTAATAAATTTACGGTGTTTGTAAATAGTTCTTGTACTTATCTATTTACTAAATAACTCGACTCCACGAATCTTGTGGGAGCCAACAATTAGAATACAGCTTTTTTTTTTAAAAAAACATGTTGATTTAGTGATCTCGAAACATTTAAATGAATACCTTGCAACCCTATATTGTCGTTTAAACAATAATCCTACACGGAACAGGCGGTAAATATCTTTCTTTCCAGATGCGTGAAACGTTCTGTTATGACAGTGGCTTAAGATCGAGAGGAAGCTGTCTCGAAGGAGGAAGAAAAAAATAAGAAGAGCGAGGAACGAAAGTACCCGAAGTCAACGGCGTATGCCAGGCACGTAAGTGTTGTTTATCGCGGAAAACGCTCCCGGTTGTCCTCGGGTTCGAATTGTTTCGAAGAAAAATAGGGATCCCCCGGTGTTATATCCCATTGCCCCGAACACCAGATATACAGAGCGCGCCTTGATTATGCGCAACACGTATTCTCAAACACAATCCCGCGACACTCGTAACGCAGGTGGAATTCGAGGCTTCCTCCAGGCAGATAACTGCATTAATTAAGTCTCCTGCAAATGAGGAGATACCCATGTAACAAAGGTGAATTAACACTAATTCACGTTCGTGCGTGTGGCTCTGTATGCGCGACGACGTTCCACTCTCGAAACCAAAATGGAAGGACAAGTCCCAGGGCCGAGTAATTAAGCCAAGAGAGAAAATTCACGGCGGATCGACGCATACGTGCACGTACACAAGCTCACGGAGGAGTAAAAAATAAAGTAACGACGGAGAATTTGAAGTACAAACGGTAACCCGAATCAAGAAAGGCGAAAAAGTAGACGCGGCCTTCGTTATCCAAATGTTCGTACTGTTCCCCCTCAAAGGGACGCGTTAACGTTATTTAGGATCGCGAGAATGTTTAAAATACAATCCTTGGACCAGAGAAGAGCAAATTTTATTCGAATGTCACCTATGTTTCAAACAGTGGTTGAAACGGTTCCGAAAATAACTGTTTCAGACTGAGTTAAAACAGTTATTAGAACAGAAAAAATGTACCCGAACGGAAAATAAGAAATAAGAAATGCTTGAATATATTCTTGTAACTGCCTTTAAAGTTCCAACATCCAAACAAGGATCACTCCAAGCTCAGTCTGAAGTAACATTTTACCCTCAAGGATGCTAAATATGTACTGTCTTCGCTTTCTATTACTTTGACAAGATCGCTATATTTGTTTCATAGATAATACATAATGTACTATACTAAATACAATGGAATCGGTAAAAAAGAAGCCATAATTTTATATTATGTATAAAACTACCATGAAAGACCACTACTGAAAAAACTTTGCATCTTCCACAACCTCGTTAAGAGATATACCTTTAATAATCTTTAAATATAATACACTAACAATAAAGCAAAAAGAACATATCGAATTAAAATATCAATACGTTGTATTTTTAATTTCCTTTATTTTTTCTAAATTATTATACAGAAAACAATAAATGTACTAGTATATTATAATGCTAGTAATATTTTCCCAAAAGCTAAAAAAGGGCTTATACTAAGAAATATGTAACTTCTATGCTATATAAATTCAGTTAGTATTAATAATAACATTTAATATGTAACTATGAAAGACCAAGCTTGTAAGATTATAATCATTGAAGATGTCTGTTTATAATAATAAATATATTTAATTTAATATTTGGTAATAATTTTAATTTTAATTCAATATTACGTTTAATTTAAATACTGAAAGACATCTTTAAGTCAATAATTAAATGTCAAGTACTATATTATGTTTTTATATATAAGATAAAAAGAAAGTGTATGTAAAATATAAACTTACCTGTAAACTCGGATGGCAACCTAATTCCAGCAACGTACGCACTACACCGGCATGTCCTTTGTTAACCGCGATATGGAGGGCTGTTTGACGCCTTTTATTTCTCGCATTCAAGTCAGCTCCAGCACCAGCCAACAATGCCATTACACCCGGTTCATCTCCAAAAGCTGCATGATGTACAGCTCTATCGCCATCTTTATCCTAAATGTACCATATACGTGCATAATTTTAAATACACCTATTTTTAATATCCCACATTTATGTAAACATTCCTTTAAAATATATAAATAAAAAATAATACTCACTTCAATTTCTACATCTGCCTTATAGCGGAGGAGAATTTTAATAACTTCTAGATGACCATTTTGACTTGCAGCTTGCAAAGCAGTATGGCCAGCAAATACACCGTTTACATCAGCTTCGGGTCTTTTCAAACATTCTTCACATTTAGCAGCATCGCCATTCGCGGCAGTTTTTACTAATTCTTCGTTAACATCGCCCGAGACATGTGTCTCAAATAATTTTTTCAACAGTGCCGATAAACGTTCTGAAAAAAAATAATATATATATATATAGTTACAGAAGATAGTTCGTAGAAAAGAAATATAATTCAATTGTCTATGATGATTTAAACGTACCTCCACTGCTATTTCCTGGAACACTACCATCGCTACTTGCTACTTTCGTGACCGCTTGAGGATTGTATGTCCAAGATGTACTGCAAACTTCTACTTTTAAATCTCCATCGTGATATATTTGCAAAACTCTACCAATTTTCCCCATAGTCTGATAAAACATGTAAACATTATTAAAAGTAAGTTGGAAGTGCTAAAATTCTTGATTGGAAAATAGTACGAACCGGTGCCATTGCTTCGGCCCATTCGCCATGACCGCGTTGAAGCAATTTAATTTTCTCTAGATCGTTACATATTTGTACCAAATCTCCAACCGCAAATGTTTGGTTATCAGAGCTTGAACTGGTAACTGGTACTGGTATTTGTACTTTCGTCAATACAGCAGGATTGAAAGTCCACCGATTTCCACTTGGATATGACACGACAATATCATGATCTTCGTCAATACCAACAACAGTGCCAGTAGTGCCGAGACATTCGAACATTCCATCTGTCCAACCACCATGTCCATGTTGTAATGACTGTACTATTTCTAATTCTAAATCAACATTAACCTATAAATAAAAAGACATCATTTATCACTTTTATTTTTAAAAGTTAAAGTAACTAATTATTATTACAAAAATTATATATACTATGGCGTGCTTGTTAGATCGAGGAATGGTAAGCGAGATAGCAGAAATTAACCCCTTGCCCTACGATTTAAGTTTCAATAGCTTGTGCCATAAACGACAACAAGGCCGGTCACAAAACTGAGACGAAATAACAACGACGAGAATTTACGACGGAAAGACCTAAGCCCGTTTTTTATTTACGTTGGGCGCATATACAAACCACGAAAGCCTAGTAAGTACGTGTTGTTTACGATGTTGAGTCCGACCGATGCAACGTGTGGGCTCTCACCCGTGATTGACTCATTTATGGCCCGATTAGCTGACCACGAGTCTCACTCGTGGTTGTAGAACAAGGGGTTGACAAAAGGAAAGGAACAAGGAGCGTTTCGTTCCGGGCCTACTAGTGTACTCATCAAGCATCCTAGCAGGCCCTGCTTTAGACGCCAGGATATTGGATAGTCGGTCGAAAAGTTTATATTTAAGAATGGAAGGATCAGACGAGCGTTTGCAAGAAAGCAGCCCCTCTGGTGGGGAGTACGGGAGGTGTCTTTAATTACCTGATCTCCAATTTGTAATCCATGTGGTCCAGTTCGACCTGGACCCTGTTCACCTAATAGTGGCAAATGATCCCTATATACTGTCTGACCCTTAGCATCGTTAACGACTTTCAAATCCGCCTAAACCATAAACCATTATTCATTATTTACGTAGTTCTTCTATATTAACCCCTCGCTTGAATAAAATATAAATGCTTAAAACTAACCATGCCTTCAAAACCAACACGATACAAATTTTTGGCACCATTATCCCATATAACGTATGCTGCTGATCGTGGGCTAGCAGCTGACCAATCTTGAACTTCGTTGACTTTACCTCTTCGCCCATTTCCACCATCTTGATCTTCCCATTGCCAATCAACACCTCGCACAACCCTCGCACCAGGAAATATACCACGAATTGCAATCTAATATTATATGTAAAAATATAAATTACATATCAAATATAATAATGATAATTCTATAACACTAATCTATGACTATGACTATACCTTTTTACTTTTACGCCTTGGTTCTAATAAGACTCTTTCACTTCCAGGAGTTGCTATACGATAAAATCTATGTCTCAGGTGATGTTTATCACCATGATAACAAATAGAGCAGAGATCGTAATTTCCACACTCTGCACATTTCCAACGAATTCCAAAAATTGGTTGTTGTCTACATGTATCGCACATTGTTCCATCATGCTTTACACCCGTTGGAGCTGAATCCAAAATTCGAAGATCAAATGCTCCAGAACAACGATAATTAGCTGCAGTACCATTATCCCAAACAACAACAACTTCTTCTGGAGATTCAAAATTTCTAACAGTCCCCACATGACCCTCTCCTCCATCCTATCAATTAAAAAATTAATTTTTATAAAATAATGAAGTATTTTTTTGAAAATATACGAATGAAGCTTTCAAGATTTATCACTAAAGTAAGAGCAAAATACATAAAAGTTTATTTTTAGTCTTCGAAGTACATAAAAATTAATTCGAAAAAAAAAAATAATGTATACAATGCAGAAGAAATCGGAGATAGAAATTAAATATGCAATATAACATACATTTAGAATATATATTATATTTTAATAAGATAATAGAACTCATATTTATACTACGAAATCATCAAATATAACCAGTTCCTCGGAAAGTATTAAATTAAATACGTATCAACTACACGTTAACCTTAAATACACATATATAATTTCAAACATTATACAAGTATGAAATTGCACAATGTCCCAAAAAGATTAATAAAAGTTATAAACTGAATTATTCGAAATGTATTTTCGGTAAATAAAATACAGTAATTTATAATAAAATACAGAAAAATTAAACTTAACTGTGTCAACCTTTTTACTAACCTGTTTACCCCATTTCCATTCGGGTCCACGGATGACCCGAGCTCCGACACCTTCCATCATAAATCGCGTTGTACGAGTACCGGTACTCGCACCAGCCTCCATAATTCATTAACGACGAATTTTCTACTAATAACACGAAAAAATTAAAGAACACGAATCTACTATCACGCACCAACACTGAAAAATACCGCCATCTTAAACTAATGTCAAAACATGTTATACCAACATTCAATAGCTCAAATTTTAAGTTTGTATACATATTACATATAGAAAATGTAGACCCTCTAAGTACACTTAGACTCGATTACTTTATAATTTTACATTACTTTTTATTTTTTACTTACACAGTTTCTATTGAATAAAAAATCTAGGGATCTTTATTTATACTACACTGCATGTCATTGGTAAGTCATTCACACTAGCGAATTGTAGGCGCTGGCCTACATATATGGACACAGGGTTGCTCAGAATGATTACACGTGGTTTTGCGGACGAGTGCTTTATTGGACTGTCCCTTAGCTTGCTCGGGGAAGAACTCCCGATTCTTTCTTGTCTCTCGAGGCCCAGGGAGTACCTAGGGACAAATTCCCTATAGCATCCCGGCCTCTCTTAATGGTTGGCATCGGCGCCACTCGCGCCATCTGCGGGAGTAACTAGGGAGTTACTAATGCTCCCTACAGAATGATTCACTCAGTCCCAACTCTGCAGAGTAGGTATAGTGGAGTATGGAGCAGTTTTTCTACGCTTGCGCGGAACAGAAACGTAGGAAATAGCCCGTCTCAAAAATAATTTCTATCTATACTCGGGTCAACAAGACGAATCAGTGAAAAAAAGCAAAGTGTGCGTGTGATATCCACGGCTGCAGTCATTGGCTGCCAAAGGACACTTGCGAGTCACATTCCGGGACACTTGTTTACGTTTGCTGACTCATCTCATTGGCCCGAGTATATTTCTATTTCGAAATATTTATAATACGTATTTTGTCAGAAGTATGTATTGTAGCATCAGAACAGAAAATGTTTATTTAATTAATTTTTATGTTGTTTTATGATATTCTTTGATCCATTTTTTAATAAAATAACGATGATACTTTCGTGTTAAAATAACACTATACGGATCATTTTCATCACTGCTCCGTAAGTCAAGGTGGTGGGCACCTTCTGGAATGATTATTGCTACTGCTGACGACGATAAGTTACGTAATATTCCACCACCAGTCCATGGGTCCAATAAACCATTACTAAATACATACAGTAATTATATAAATGAGAAAAATTATATTAATTGATTTCAGTTCTATTATGAATATTATGCTAAGACTATTTTATAATTACTAATGTAATTGATTATTTTTAATAAACAAACTGGCTTTAAGACAAAAGTCACAGAACTTATTAGTACATGTAAAGTCTTAAATAACTATAATTTTCTACTTCCAATAGAACAATAATACCAATTACTAGTACATACCTAAAAACAATATTTGTCACAGTTGATAAATCTTTACACCCATATTGTTCACATACTAAATTTGGTTGTGGTTTTACAGAGTATTTTTTCATACATTCTTTTGCATATTCATCAAAGTTCCATGAATCAGGTTCATACATATCATTTTTCCCATCAGTACACATTGGCATCACCATTTCTGTACAAGCTTGATAATACCACCCTGAAGCATCTAAATCTGGTGTAGAATTATTTAAAGCTAAACATTTTGTTTCGCCAGTGTAATTAGTAAATACATTAGTAGCATTATGTATTGCAATCAACAACTCTGTGTCCGTTAATGATTCGTTCGTTAAGTATTTACATGCAGCCTGTAACGAAAATAAAAAATAAATATAATCAAACATTTTGTAAAAAATGTTATAATAAATTTGTGTGCAATCTTTTGTAGATTGTATACCTACATTAACAGGATTGGCAGGTAATGGTGCTAAGAAATCAGCTTTATATGGATAGTTCATCATAGCAAGGTTTCCATAAATGTCTTGTAAATAAGATTTTAGTTCTTTAATATCAGTAGCATTCTTTAACGGTTGACATAATTTCCAATTATTCGACAACCACTCTTTTCCTTTGTCTGTTAAAATAAAATAATAGTATCATTATAAGAAACATATGTTAAAAATCTCTAACATGTATGTTCAATAAGGAAAAGTAGAATAATTTTTTACCATTTGAGGTTATATTGGTAATAACATTCCATGATTTGCGAATAAGTTTTGGACAATTTGGATGTGCTTTCCTAAAATCTGATGTAACTATCCGTGAAAAAGATTCACATTCTACAATTCCAGGAAATTGAAGAATTGGAGCTGAAGCTGCTATTGCTCTGAAATGAATATATAATATAATATCATATAAATATATGAATTATCCGACCTTATCTCTAAATTATAGCTGCTGTGCTAATAATTTTTGTAAGGAATTGAGTTTAACTAATTAATTATTGTGACAACGTCAACATATTTTGTGAGCAGTATTTCAGCATGTGAAAATTTTACGAACAATTCTTGTAAAGATATTTGAGATAATTAAACACAAAAATAACTATTACTGAGAAATAAAGTTAACTACATCATATGTTTATATGAAAATTTTTTTGTTTTCTAGTGTTTAACCCGTTATTAAAATACGTCCCACAAATAATTAAACATCCTATTTGATGAATTGTCGTGTTATATATTATTTTCAACTTTATCTATTCCACTTATTTACCCTTGTACAATATGAGGATATTTCATACGAATCCATGCACTGAGCATACCGCCGTATGAACCACCAAAAACTATAACAGGACTCTGCTTATTTTCTGATTTGGACCTCAAATACTGAATAAGATCAATGTAATCTGCAAGAGCTTGTTGAGATGTTAGGTATCCCAAATGATGCGAACCATTGTAAGACTGATTGCCGTATGGCATAGATTCTCCATAATAACGATGCTCAGCAAAAACTAATAATGCTCCAAATTTTGGAGCTATCTCCCACATAAATCCCTATAAAATATGACAATTAATAAGAAATCTAGAATACAGGAAAACTCTAAGAATATAAAAGATATAGAAATAAGAATGAACCAAATATAATGAAATGCATAATCATAATAGTATAAAGAAAAATTATATTATATTTTACTTATTATAATTATATACTTACTGTATTTTGGGCAAAGGTTTCAATGTTTCCTTCATTTCCAGTATAAAAAAAAATAGGTGCATTCTTTTCTGTTTGCCAAGTTCCATTTAAAAGATATCTTAGTTTAAATCTGTCTGGCACTGAAAAGCTAAAATGATCCACCTGTAATAAAAATCTAGATTTGAACTTGAAAATATGAAAATGTATTAAATAAACTAACACTCTAAATTAAACTTCATTAAAGTTTAGCGAACGACCAAATTATAAATTTAACAATAGAAATTGTCACAAAAACATACTGGCATATCGATTGTGTGAATTTGATATTTGTACTTCACATTATCCGCTTCATTTTGATTGCGCAGTTGCTTTTGGAAACTGCCATGAAATTTAGTGGGGAAAACATATTGCGTGGTAGGCTGCCACGATAAAATAAATATTAAAAACAAGGTATTCTGGAACCACATTGTGATCTGTTCTCAGTGAGATTCAGATCCTAGCTCGAATCAACTCTGAGAACCAATACTGGACTTCTGAAATCATAAACTGTGCAGTTATAATATAATTTACTTAATAATAATGTAGAATTATTATATTGATTTTGAACTATATTTTTTCACAAAGAACGTCATCAATTTTTATTCGCTTTGTATTTTATTAGGCCACAGCACCTAATTGTTTCGCTTCTGTTACAAGTCACGTAGTTTTGTTTACAATAGTTTGCATAAGTACAGTAGTGCCCACTTAAATGACCACACTCAGAACCGGCCGCGATCATTTATGTAAGCTTCTCAGAATTCAATGGAGGTAAAGAAAAAGGAATAGTGCGAATAAGATACAATTAGCTGGCACCCGAAACCACATATACAATGTATCGATAAAGACTCGTCAAGTTACGCTCGACGCGCTCGATGTCGAAGCCGTTTGGCTTCTAACACTTGGTGGGGATAACCGCGGACATTTAAGTGGGCAAAAATGCAGGTTGCTTATGGGGGCACTACTGTAATTAGACTATGGAATCGATTGACGTACCTACTTTATCATTGTAAAACATTAAAGCGTAATCTAGGTGTTTTTTAATTTTATACTTAATTTATTTTATATTTTTCGTATATGGAACATATAAATATACAAAGGAAGCAATTATTTCTTTCATTTCTTACATTGAATTTAACTGTTAGCAACAATGGCTTTAAATCTAATTAGACGTCATTTTTTAACGAGTACAACAAAGACACGTAAGAAACTTTTCTACTATTTTTACCGAGCATTGTATTTTATTAAAAGTGTTGTTTTTCCCAGCAGTGCAATATTGTAAAATGAATTATAGTATGCTAAAAATATCAGTACCAAAAGAGTTTATTTATGTGGTAGAAATGAATAGACCACAAAAACTTAATGCTATAAATGATACTATGTGGAAGTATGTATTTATATTAAACTGTGATTAATAAATATTATTTAAAATATTTAATATTATTTATTTAATGGCTATGCAGAGAATTCAAAAATTGTTTTGACGAATTAGCAACGAATCCAGAGTGCAGAGTCATAATTCTTGCAGGAGCTGGTAAAGCATTTTGCGCAGGTACATCATTATTTTTAAAATGAATTGAAAATAGAGCCTGAACATAAGTTGAACATCCATGTAAATCAACTATATCACAATGTTGTTTGTACGATTAATTCTTATTCGCAATATCTCTGTATTCCAAATTACTCCTATAGATAACAAGGTAGTATATATAATTTATATTTGTGATTGATGCTGTAATGGAAATTTACCATTATTTAATGAACGTTTTATTCAATAAATAAATAATTCAAAAATAAAGTACAATAAATTTTGTAGGTATTGACATTAGCAATCTAATGCAATTAGGAACTGAAGTAGCTAAACACGAAGACATTGCACGAAGATGTAAAGTTTTAGAACTATATATAAAAGGATATCAAAATAGCTTTAATGCTATAGAAGAGGTCACTTATTAATTATAATTTTAATATTTATAATTCTGAGTTTATTCAAATTATATTTCAGTTTTCATAAAATTATCCTTTAGTGTCCAAAACCTGTGATCGCAGCTATACATGGTGCATGTATCGGAGCCGGTTTAGATATGATATCAGCAGCAGATATTCGATATTGTTCCTCAGATGCATGGTTCCAGATCAAAGAAGTTGATGTGGGTATGGCTGCTGATGTGGGTACATTGCAAAGATTTCCAAAAATTATAGGTTCCGACAGCTTAGTCAGAGAACTTGTGTATACCGGAAGGAAATTTACTGCTTCCGAGGCATTGCAGTATGGTTTTGTTAGTCAGTTATTTGATAATCAAGAAAGGTAGAAAAGTTTCTCATATTTTATGCAAATAATATGTAGCAGTACTTTTAACAAATTTTACTTTAATCTTTAGGTATAATTTACCAAATTAAAAATTCTTTCTATTTCTTTTAGCTTACTGACAGGTACAATGAAACTTGCAGAAGAGATAGCAAGTAAAAGTCCAGTTGCAGTACAAGGTGCAAAATTAAATTTAATTTACTCGAGAGATCATTCTGTCCAAGAGGGTCTTAATCATATTGTAAGCACCAATATTATTCCACCTATAATAATATAATTATTGTTATATAAGTATAAATACATTTTTTTTAATTACATTAATAGGCTATGTATAATCAAGCTATGTTACAAAGCGAGGACTTTCTAAATGCTTCCATGTCACAAGCTGCTAAATCTGAACCTCCAGTTTTTGCAAAATTATAAAACATAAATTTATATATTCAGTAGAACCTTGGTAATTCCAGAAAACGGGACTAAACATTTTTACAAGTATTAAGATTCGTGCAATAATGGAAATCAATGCAACGCAATGAGCAAGTTTGTATTTATTACGCTTTACTATATATAAATTTGTATGTACACACGCGCACAATATATATTCAGAGAATTTAAAAACTCTTATTTTTATACATTATATTGATTGTTAAAAGAATAATAAAAAAATATTTAAAATATTTCTAAAAACATATTGATACTAACAAATTTTCTTCGTTAACGGTATTTTCTTCACTGAACAGCATTACTTCGAATAATCACGAAATCATTCATATTTTTCAAGTAAGTTTAATGTCCTGAAAGCTCTGAAGAAGGCTTTCCAATCTACGTTTTTTCGGCATAGCTTCTAATAGAGCAATGTCCATTTTATCGACAATAGAATATACATTGATTTCATTAGGTATTTTCACCTATAAATGATATTTGAAAGTGTTCTATATGTAATATTCACTAATTTTAACACGTTAATTGTTCGCTGACCTACATGCGTTTTAAGACGATTTTGACTTAGAACTCCACCAAACAGAGAAAAAATACTGCTTGTACAATAATCTAACAAATTTTTTAAACTGTAATTTGTAGCTACTTTATAAAAGCAATAATGAATATATTAGTACTTAGAAAGGAGAGTAGAATATTTATTATGAAAATGTCATCGTCTTTTTGAATGTTCGAAATCGTATTCATGATTTCAGGTATGAGTAGTCAATGTATTAGTAATCGTTTCTGTAGTAAAGAAATAAAGGTTTGCATATATACTAAAAAAAAAGTATGCAATACGTACAATTAGCATATTAATGTAATGTTCGTAATTGATTTTTTTTGTTTGTGGATCACACGCAATGGCCATCATATCAGCTATTTCTTCTTCTGAAAATGGTTCTCCAATTTCCATCATTGCTTTTTCTAAAACATCGCGCATAATATATCCCCGATTTTCAGGATCTAATAATTGAAATGCTTTTAACAAATCCTCCGGTTCGGCTGGCTTAAATCTAGGCAAAAAATTAAAATCACAGTTTTAAATAAAATCATAAAAAAAAGTAAATATCTTAGTTATAATTTCTCAACCCTCCAACAGATGCGCTTTTTATAGCAAAACGAGCGCCTTTTTTTGTACTTCGTATACGCGACGTTGATGTTATGAAATTTTAATTTTTGGGTCGTATAAGTAGAAAAATCTTCAGACGAGGAATAGAAAAAAATCCGAAATCCGATCACAGGAAAAAAAATTTTTTAACGAAAGACTAAATCGCGTACAGTGCTCCGCTGACTTGAAGTCTCGCGGGACGACACAGGAGCAAGGGGAGTCGGACCGCCCATTTATCTATTTCGCTCCTTTGCTCTTAGGTAGTCCATATGTGTGTGTAACTGCCGCGACGAATAGCGAGCTAGAGATCAATGTGTACGTGGGAATACGTGTATCCCTTCTACTTCTCCCGCATTCCTTCCACGAGGTTCAAGTCAACGGAGGACTGTACTCTGTTTACAGGGGCACGTCCGCTGGAGAGTTAATAAAATTGAAGTTTGCAAATATCTAACTTGCGTTCGTTTATAGCTTTGCACATATATTCTAGGAATCTGTTTAATGGTACACAATTGTTTGCTACATCTTCCACTTCAACTTGTATCTCTTGCAATTCTGCTTCGGTAATGACACATCCTAATGCTCTGATAATAGTTCCTAAATCACTAACATCTATTTCACCGACTTTTGCAGTATCAAACACATCGAATGCCTCGCAAAGCCTTTTCTCTAAAGGTGATGGTTCCAACGCAGACACTGTACAGAAAAAAATATAAATAAGCGCGAAAGTACGTAGTAAATATTTGTATAAAAATTTATAAATTTGAAATTGTAGAAAAAATGTTATAAAAAGGAACAATCAATCAATATATTTACTCTGTCCCGCAGTATCGCTTTACATTGACTCAATCGTATTAGCTACTTTTAAGTAAATCCGTAGAATTTACATTACACTCATGCTAACTGACTGGTTATATCCGGTTTGTAATTGTTTGATCAATATAGTTTAAAGTAAGAATGTACGTTTCGATACGCACGTATAAAATTTATTTTTTCTTTACAGTAATAACGCTTAGTTATGATATTAATATTAATAATTCGCAATGTTCCATATATGCACGTAAAATTTTAATACATACGTAGAGTTTCACGTCTCGTTAATCGTCTCGAAAGAATACTTGATGCTCGAACGGATTCGTACATTGATACCGAATGCATGGCAAAATCAATTTTAACGTATATTTCCTTTATTATGCGATGGTCTCTAGACAACTTGATAAAAGTTTATATATTTCAGTCTTTATAAAAATTTATTTTTTAAATGAATGTTATGTATGTTACTACAATATAAAATAACTTGTGAATTTAGCAAATTAAAGAATCGACAATAGATTTTTTATTTGTACAAAATTCATTCTAATTAACATACATATATATCTACACTGTTCAGATTGATTTGTATTCACACTTCAGGTTTTCTCATTTGATGAAAAAATACTAAAACGCATTAGATTTATGATTACATGTAAATAATACGAGCATGAGAAGTTATTTTTATTTAAAATAGAAGAAATATTCTCTTGATGACACGTTTCGATATTTAGGAAATAGTATTTAAAAAAAGAAATATTTCTTCTGTATGGAATGGTGGAAAGGCACGATTTTAAAAATGAGCTGTTTGTCGATCTATCTCGGTAAGGTCTTCTATTATTTCTTGCACACGCGTTCCAATCTTTTTGGCCACATCTATTTTTTCATTGTTGGGTAAATAGAGATAGCGCCAAACTAGATCACCATCAATAATACCCCTTGCAGGATTTCCTTGAGTTCGAACATAGCTTTTGTAAGTACTGAAAAAAGCAAAATAATTGCAGAGAATATTTGTAACGTTGATCATAATATATAATTATTTTAGTCGAGATAATTACCGATAAGCTTTGGGGTTCAATCCAGCAATGTGACAAATATGTGTTACCAAAACATTTTGTAACATGAGTAATCTTCGGTATGTTTTTTCTGGTACAGGTAAAATATAACCAAGACTGCCATCCAAAGTTGCTAATACAAAATACAATTAACGTAAATTTACTTACAAATTTCACCGAGTTCGTGTTTACATTTTTCGTTACTTTTTAAATTCTGCTTACCATACATAGTAACGTGTCTTTTATCCGCACCAGAAAAGTATTTCTTATCATTTGCCGGATCTGAAAGTTTGCTTTTTATACGGAAGAACGTATTTATTTTCTGACCTAAATGGAAATCAGCTTTTCTAATTAATTTTTGTCCTCCAAGACTTTCTCTCGATTCCGGTTGATACATAAATAAAGCTACATTGCTTTCACCATCGGCCACAAGAAATCCTAAATTAGTATTATCGATTAAGTATTCAATAGTATATACTTCTGCCGGTCTAAAATCCTAAAAAGGTGTATTTTTATTTTTACTTTTCTACGGTAAGAACGTGCAGTTACAACTGAACTTAAACTTACTCTACTGACGAGAGATAACGTTCTATACTCTTCTTGAAATCTTAATAAACTAATCGATTTATATACATCGGCTATTAAAATTAAGCTTTTGATGCTTAACATTTGGTGAATGTAAATTTGTGTATCTATAAAAGCAACCCCAACAAGGTCATTATCCTTTAATTGCCAAATATATATTTTTTGTCCAACGGCTGAGACTAGAAATCCTGATACTTGTGTGATAGCAGTTATTGGACCTTTTTGTTCTTTTGCATAAATCTGTTTGAATCTATTTTTCGTTAATGGCTGACCAGGTTCAGGTACAACTTCAATTATATCAAATATAAGTATCTACAAAATAATGTCAAAATTAAAATTGTAGTCGTATTAACATATACAGTAAAAGTTCGTTAGGAACGCACGGGTAGGGATCGGAGAATAAGTTATAACGTAGGATAAACACAATTCCGTGCGATTATTTTCATTCCTAACATTTCTAACGTGTAGTCGATAATGCGTTTTTAACGATTTTATACTGTACTCATTGTAAATTCGAAAGTAAGACGTACCCTTCCTCTGCTTGTAATATCTTCACCATAGTTATAATTTGTTCCTACTACTATGTATCCCTTCAAACCAGATCGAGTTCCTTCATAAGCCAAGGAAACATTTTTTAGACAAGTTGCATGTTCCCATTGATCAAGTTCAATTTTAGTATTGGGTATAGTTTCCCAAGAAACAGGTGAGAACAACACTATCGAAAATTGTTCTTGCGAAGGGTAAATAAATCTTTCTGATCGTTCTTCTTCGGTAAATTCCTTAAAGTAAAAGGAAGAAGAAAATTGTAGCAACAAAAGTGTTGCTATTACTTTAAAAATAGTACTATTATTTCTTAAGTTCGTACCTTATCTTCACCATTGAATCTATAATAACTTTTAAGTGGTTCGGCTATACTCGTTATAACACAGTAAGTTTTACTTTCAAGATGATATGTGACAAAATGTGGCGTACATCTCAGTGGCACTTTTCTAACAGGCCACGGTGCATCGTACGATAAATGAGTTGGTAAAACACATATCCTTAATTCTTCCTAGAAATTAAATCATTAAAGTACATATTTAGTTTCCAATTTGATTTTAATAATAACAATAATAATACCTTTCTATTGAAATAGAGAAAACCTTGTGGACAATTTATATTATTAAAAGGCGCGAAGGATGTAACAGGACCGTCGATACCCATTGGGTGAGTACGTAATTCGCCACGTCCTGTGAGAAATATCCAATGAGGATAATCACTGCAGATAAATACACCATTATACCCAGCAATATTACTGAAGTAACGCATCATACAATGTCGAGTCTCATTCATTGTAGGCATATCTTCATCTTTCGGTGTTAGCCTATAAAATAAAATGCCAATTTATAACTTGCTAAAAATAAAAATATTGAGATTTAAGAAAAAGAATTCTATACTTTAATTGTCCTGGTATTATGCCGTGATCTAATTTCTTAAATCGTAATTTTAAGTGGCCCTTTGGATATCTATACGCTTGATAAATTTGAAGTTCCGAGTCTAGTCTTACTAAAAGCATTGGTCTATTTCCGTGATGACCTAATGCTACTATTAAAATTTCACGCACCTGTAACAGTACATTTTCATAAAAAATATATATTTATTATTATAACTAATATTAAAGTTATTCAAATATTATAGCACATTCAAAGAAGCATAGTTTATTTATTAAAAGTCTGGACCTTTTATTTACCTGCATTTCAGGATTGGGAATTTCGTTAACAGTTGCTGTTTGCAACGTTGTAGATTCCATGCTATCGTGTAATACATATTGACCATATCCAAAATTACGAATAAGGTAAGATAAGCGTAAATCAGGAAGAGAATAAATTTCTAACGTTCCGCTATCTCTGTATACTAATAACCAATATGTTGGCTTTATCTCTTGCAAATGCTTTTGCCACCTGTTAAAAATATTTAATCATTATACAATTTTATCTATTTTTTTATAAAGAAAAAAAAAAAAGATAATTGTATTACTTTAAATATTTAAATTATACATAGAATAAATTGTAAATGTAAAAAATTACCAAGGAGCTTTTTTCGATGATCCCTCAGATACTTTAGTAAGCGATGGTGCAGGCATTTGAAAGGCTGGTGCATCACCATAGAGAAGATCATCTTCGTTGTCGATATTGGCAACTACCGGTGGTTCCTCTATATTATGTTCTTCTTCAGGTACTTCGTCTTCTACGTTTTCAGGTAATTGTGTTGTAAATATTCCACTAACATCTCTGTAAGCGCATAATGCTTCTATTTGAGGTCGCTAAAATTTAAGTTCGGTAAATTTAAATTAGAAATAACAAGTAGTAAATGTTTTAATAAAATTATTAATTTACAAATAATAGATTAGCTGCTTGGGCGTGTAATTTTGCAGTTCCACGCCCTTCTCTAAGAGTCAATAACATAACTTGTCCATCTTCCGAAAGTAACGTTACATAAGGATCTGCACAACTTGCGTGTACAATTGGACATCCAAGATCTATAGGCATATGTTGGATCTATAATTGTAACACATAAAGCTATATAAGATTTTTGCATAAATATGCGCACAAGTAGTCATTTATCGTATCAGTATTAGAGGTACCTGCTCAATTCCTTGTAAAAGACGTACACCCATTTGAGTAACTTGTACTATATACCTATTTGCACCAAGATTTCCAGCAAATACTGTGCTTCCCTGCGTACTGAATCCACTTTGATCTACTTCATTAATTTCTTGACCAGTTTGTAATATCTAGACACATTACAATGTTAAATAATACATATTATACTTACAAGAAACATAAGTGAAGAGTTCTTCTATTCGATTTTGATGAAACATTTGTAGAGCAACCAAAAATAATAAGTACGTATTCTTTAGCGGCGACAACTTAAGTTAAACATAATTTAGTAATTTATATCACATTGTATCTCTTCAATTAGAGTTATCATTGCTAAAAAAATACGTATCCCTTATCTTTCACCACTTTATAAACCTACAAAGATGTTTCTTCTTAGAAACAATAACATTAGATAAATATAAAATGCACAATACCATTGTTGAATCTTCTTGGCTTAAAATCAAAAAAGCATGGGATCCTTCTGCTTCAGGCCTCACTTGTTCGTCAATATTTAATGTACCAATAACTGTCCACATGTCTTCACACCCTGGTAACTCGAATGTAGTTACAACCTGTTTCATAAAAAAATATTTTTATTAGATGATTGTGAGTAATTGCAAAATTTCTAATTCGAAATTAAAATGTGAAACAATCACCTGGGGTCGAATTGCACATTGAAGGACACAAAGTGCACCATTTTTACCATATCCTGAAGTTGTGACAAGTTCGACATCAGGGTCGTGACTGTGTGAAAATTCTTCAGATAAAAAAGCTGGTTCACCCATAGATATATTCCCGCATGGTCCAATATTTAGTAAACTATCACACACCTGTAAAAGTTTAATCGAATAACGAAATCAATTTTTATTTTTATTGCAATGCATTTTTTTATGTAAATACCTCAAATATGTATGATGTGATCTGGATGGAAGTGTGCGTTTCACTTCCATACACTTCTAGTTCTTCTGGATCTTTTATGTCCAATACATCAGATGCCATCCAATCTCCTATAAAATCTTGTTTTATTTTTTTTGCGGGAGTTTCTTCAGTTTCA